TTTCCAGTTCATTCCCCAAACCTATTCTGAACTAACTAGAGCTTGTCCACAAGGAACTTATTTTGGATGCAAGTTTTGCAGTTTTATAATCATCACGTAGCTGAATGAATCTAGATCAACAACAAATCCGTTAACAGTAAAATGTTGTCATGTAACACCTGTCTAGTAGAAGAAGAAAAAAGATAAAAGGAAAAAGCATATACCTTTGTGCATCTTTCCGAATGCTTGCTGGGGTTCCCTCAAACAATGTGGAGAGGCTTTCAGGTGCAACAATAAACACATTTGCCATGCTGAAAACATAAATAACGTTTGCAAGTTAAGATTCTACAAACTTACCTTTTGATTGCATTCTCTTGTCTTTTTCAATTGCCCACTCACGTGGCAATTTTGGAGACAAAATCAGAAGTTTAAATTGGAAATGTGAAAGGTCCAACACTTACATGCCCAACAATTCAAACTTCTCATCAATTGTGGGAGCATTGAAACTACGCAAAAACTCCCCATACTCAATTATGTCACGCTTCAGCCGCAGCCCGCCACTGTGGAGAGACATAAGCAATTAACATAAGACATGGAAGGATGCTATCTGTACTAAGCTTGGTAAGATTGAATGGAAGAATTATGCACAACTTAATTGGATGCTGATTTAATCCTTCTCTTCCACTAAGTTGATACTGTCAGACTGCCATGGGACATGCCCTTGTGAGTTGATGTAAAGGGCTTTACTCCAAACTATGAAAGCATGATAAACCACATACTAACTGTAAAAATATAATAGGCCAAGTTGATGAGAGTGAGAATTGGGAAAAAAATGTTTAAGTCGGGTTCTTTGTTTTACTCTTTTTAGTCCATCAAAATGTACCTGAATTTACTGTAAACTGGCAATTGAAAATATGTGTACACTATAACAAGGTCTTGAAGAGAAATTACTTCTACCATGTCTTTTATCCCTTTTTACCAGGGACCCTAAATAAATCAGCCACTAGGAAAGATAAAAAACCAGAATATAAAGGAGAAAGTGTCCCCGTCCTCAACTGCAAAACAGACTCTGACCAACCATAAGCTTCTAGACAGACAAATTCTTGAAGCTTTTGCTGACCAGTAACCCAGGAACCAAACCAAACGATCTTGCCCACCACTTCACTCAGGAGCTCATCTGTCTTACTAGATTTATTTTCAAAATATTCTGCTATGCCACTCTGTCCAAATTGACCAAATGGCAGCATCAGGGATTATGAGCCACACAACTGTCCTACAGTGCTTTGTGCCATAATAATAGACTCAAACACCAGGGATCACTTGACTAAGAAATATATTTTCCTGCTATTGCGAAATTTTTATTCTCCCCCAGTGGATATTTAATTTCTTTTTCCTTCTTGAAAGCCTTCAGATGTTTTTTTTTTAAATTCTTATTTACAATTAAAATGGTTGCACATCATAGTTTGAACAAGAAATTTCCACCATGCACCATCATCCTAATGCAATATAACTGATAAATGCTCATGTAACTTTAAACAAAATGAACAAAGTCATCGAATAAACTTAATACCTGGGATTAAAGGTAAACTTCTGCCAATGACTAAGAAGTCCTTTATGCAAGCGGTTTCCCTAAAATGGCAAATTTTACTTCATTATGATATAAAAAGAATAGACTGCAGATTCTATGCTACAAAAAGATTGGTTCAAAACAGTAAAAAGAAACTGCAAAGATAAGATCCTTGCATAACATGTGTTGGAGCATAACCAGGATTTGATGATCAGATGTCAATAAGTGAGGCACTACTTTTGGTGAATATTGTCCATAATATACTCTTTCCATCCATTAATTTGTTGAATGACATTGATATTAAAATGAACAGAGGTATTCTAGTAACGCAATAGAGCTAAGTAGTGCTATAACTTTGGTCACTTCCACAAATAACTGTTAGAAGCTGTATATTTATAAATTAGGAGTATTCATGGGATTTCTCATGTATTGGAGCTATATAGTAAAATATCCATGTATATAAGGGCAATATTGTAATTTTCATTCATATTTTTATTAAGAAATAAAAGTGTATTGGGAGGGTTGGGTCTCTCATATGAACCCTTCTTGTCCCTCTTCACTTTACTCCTTTCTTTTTCTTCTCCCTCCTCAACTCCTTCCTCCAAAACCCTAATCTTCTAACTTAGGCACATCTAGGAAACTAACCCACTAACCATTCAAAAAATAAGGCTATCTAATCAAGTCTATAAACTTTTGTTCTGCATAAACTTCTTCCCTGTGAATGGATATGTTTATGGAAAAATTTTATAATAATGGATGAATATAGTAAGACTATAAGTTTCTAGGTGAATAAGATTAAAATCTTTGAAAATATCACAGGAAATCATAACATCAGGAGAAATGCTACTCTGGACTTGCCATATAATCTAAGAATACAGTAACAGTTGAGGCCAATAGCAGTAAGCATCACACATGTATGTCTATAGCATTGGAGCTATCAAGATAAAGATAAGTGGTCAATACCCATAGTGCAATACAGCTCCAATATAACAAAAATATGATATTTTGTGTTCGTTAGCATTTATCTTCAGATAACATTTCTCTAATTTTTATTTTCAATTTAACATGTTCTTATAAATTATTTGGTCTTTGAGTGCCTATTCCTGTCTGCCCATGGGCTTTCTTGGAATCTACATTTTAGAATCCAAGGGGAATCACAGAATTTGGATCTTGTCATTTGGGTTCATTTTCTTGTATCTCTTTTTATTTTTCTATCAAATGATCCCTCTCTGAGTCACAATTTGCTTGTGGGAACCTACAAAAGAGTAGGTAGGCCAAACTTACACTTAAACTAATCTCTTTGCAGGCTAGCAGTGAGACTGCCTCACACTTACACTAATCTCCTGCTCCTTTGTTGCTCCTATTTGGGATTATTTCTTCTCCCTTCTTTATTACATGTGGAATCCCCCTTCTAATATAAAGACTCTGTCCAAGACTTCTTTTTTCTTGCAACCTAACATAAAGGGTTAAGCTCTACGGAAATGCCTTAGAACAGAAGTTGTTTGGACAAAATAGGAAGAACAGAATAGGAGAATTTTTTAGGGCAAAAGTCAAACAAAAGATGCTTTATGACATTGGGTAAAAATGCTGACCATCTTTGCTTCAGCATCTTATGATGATATTGCAAGAAATTGACAAGTTATTGAAAATTCATCCATGGTGAGAACCAAGGTATGCACACCTTGGAAGCGACCCCGGATCTCCTGCTCACGAGAACTCTGCCCACCTCTACCCACAACACACTATCCCCCATGAATTGGGAACATCTCCCCCTGCATAATACTATGCAGGAGGATGAGATGTTATCCGTGTGTGGCTGCGATGTTATGTGGGTAGACATGGGCAGAGTTTGTGTGGGCAGGAGATCCGGACTCGAAGCGACTCCGGATCTCCTGCCCACGAGAACTCTGCCCACATCTACCCACAACACACTATCCCCCGTGAATTGGGAACATCTCCCTTCCTGATTTGCCATACCTTAAGCTGAACTTTTAACTTTTGCAGTTTAGGAAACCCAGTAATGTCAAGGTATTGAATTGGAGTTTTAGATGCCATGATGGTCTATAGTAGTCCTCTATTCAGGGCCATTGGGCATGAAAGCTCAATGAGGGATAAACTGTTGGCTGTGTTACAAGGACTGAAATTGGGAAGAACTTCAAATTATGGAAACATTTAGTGGAGGGAAACTCTAAATTAGTACTATGTTGGCTAAGAAACAATGCCATGGGAACTTGGACATACAGGATGCTACTTTGTTTTGGTGGAAAGAGTTTGTCTGATGGGTTGGCTAAACAAGGGGTAAATATGGTGGAAATTTATTGGGAGAGATTCCAGTGGGAATCTGATATTTCTGTAAGGAATGGAACATATAGTGTATGCAGATCTAAATTCTGCAAATTTCTGATATTTCTGTACTTTTGTCTTAACAAAGTGGGGCACCCCTAAAGGAAAATTGAAAGAAAACTTACACAAGGTGTTAGTGGAAAAAACAAAATTTGATAGAATTTATACATAACATAGTTCACCACAAATATTCCTTTAGTTACATCTTTGCTAGGAGCGGAGCAAAACTTTTGATTCTAGTTTAAGTATAAACAAATCCCTCCTTAGTTTGAGAGAAACCAGAAGATGTAAACAAATACATAACCTTTGCTTTTATAAAGCAGGAACCATAATCAGCCAAGTTTCATAAACAAGGCTATAGATGATTTTTCTGCCTTCATAGAATCAAAATTTTATAGTGGAGGGAACTGTAATCAGCAAAGCTTCATGAATAAGATTTAAATGGTTTATTTCCCTACACAAAATCAAGCTTTTATAGAAATTTATCAATTTATGAGGTGTAGTGAACCATAACCAGCCAAGTTTCACGAACAAGGTTGTAGATAGTTTTCTCCCTTGCATAAAATTAAGTGGACTGTATCTTAACTAGAGTAATCCATTGGTTGAAGTGTGGTAGAGTGGAAAGAATAGAAATGTGGTAGAGTGGAAACCTCCCCCAGAAGGTGTCATTAAATTGAACTTTGATGGGATCAGCCAAGGTAATCCTGAGCCTTCGAGTGTAGGGGGTGTGCTAAGGAATAATGACAGCAACATTGTTTCATTATTCTCAGAACCGGTGGGAGTGGGAGACTCTACAAGAGATGAGATACTAGCTGTTGTTCAGGGGATTCAGGTTGCTAACCAGCTTCGAGTGGAACATCTTCTAATTGAAGGAGATTCACAGGTGGTAGTAGGGTGGCTGTTAAATCCAAACACTGCCATATGGGGATATAGAGACCTCCTCAAAAGAGTTAAGTGGCTGACTAGAACTATGAGAGTGGATGTAAAATGGGTAAGCAGGTCGGCAAACACTGTGGCTGATTCATTGACCAAGCAAGGGGTATCTGAATATTCTGGAGAGGTCGCATCTCACGCCTCTCCTTGGGATGCTTGTACTTACTTATCTTTGGTATCTAATAAAATTTATTCAATTATCAAAAAGAAAGTTTCTTTACGTAGAGATAAGGAAAATAAAATAGAAAAGATGAACAGGATAAGAGAATAGAAGAAAGAGGTAGCATCATTCTCCTTGTAGAGAAGGTTGCATGGATAGAATGATGAAGAATGAAAAAAGATTATCTTATTTCCTACATTCAAAAATGACTTGACTTCTTTCTTCCTCTTCTCTTCTTTGATTCTCTACACCTCCTCTCTTTCTCTATTTGTTTTTATCCCTCTTATTGCTAGAACTTCTATTATTAGAATTAGCATTAGCTTCCTCTGCTAGGAGGGGGTTTTATATAGAAAGGGAAGTTGTTAAATAAATCCCTACCCCTCTTTTCATAGGATGCTGTGTGTTACCTCATTTAAAGAGTGGATTAAGGAGGGAAAAGATCCCTCTCTTAATGAGGAGACAGGTGGCATCCGTTTTAAAGATGTGGGATACCTCATAAGTCTGAATGGGCCTCTATTAATTAATACCAAATTAACTCTTTTAGGGCCCAGTGCCCATTTATATGAGCTCTACTGAGGCACATTAAATGTTTAATAAGTGGTCGGAGTCGCTTAAAAATAAATTTAAGGTCTGCTACCCACTTAAATAGACTTACTACAAGCCATTCTTCTTAAATAAATTATTTCAGCTCACTTGTAGGATTGGGCCTACATGACTAATCTAAAAAAAAGGATCTTATGAGCTGTAATTCGAAGTATCTTTATAAATTGATCTCAATCCAGCCAACTTTGAGGCTTCAATAGCCCCCCTTGAGTATTGTGAGGTCAAGAATAGCCTAAGGTTGCAATGCTCAAACAAACAAAATGCCTTTTAAGTAAGCTAAATTAAAGGCTATAGAAGTTTATATAATCTTAATTTTGCTTACCATAATTCATTTAAATGATTAAGATTAGGCTCATATTGCAATGCAACTTAAATGGACTTATTTAAGCCAATAAAAGAAAGCAATAGATCCAAATGTGATCCTTCAATCACAAGAAAAGCAAAAGGAGGATTTTTGTAAAGTGGAGGTGAGTGAAAAAGTGAGTGTAGTGAGCAAGAAAGGAAATGTATTATTTTGTAATTGTATAGGACTGAGAAAGGAAAAAAATATTTTGATAGGAGAAGATGGCTCTAGAAGCTTGTTTTATCAGGATCATTCTATTTACCCAATGACCTGAGTCAGCAATACATGGGTACAGGTGAGGGATACTTCATTGTAGTGGTAAAATATATTGGGTTCAGACAGGATCTAACCCTTGGACAAGTCCTCACACTGGGCACCCATACCTGAAACCATGCAACATGGTTAGAAGCATTTACCATAAAAAATGAACTTCAACCATAACATTTCTGAAATTTAAACAAAAGTCTGGAAGGGACTTTGTGACATTCAGACTGAAAGTCAAACAAAATGCTTCAAAGTTCTGGCTCAATTACCAAAACTTTGACCCAAGTATTGTAATTTTAAACAGATGTGATTCAGTCCTCTAAATATGAGATTAGTTTCTGATTACAGCAACAAAAGGAAGAAGAAGAAGAAGAGAGTTCGATGGATTCACTCTCTCCTCTCTCTTATCTTTTATT